TTGCCATAATGGCAACCCAGCCTAGTTGACTAGAGATCCCAAGATTTAGGTTCAAAGAGACAACTGAATTATGGATGACTTCACGTATCACTAAGGAGGTTTACTCCTACCCATTTCTATGATAAGAAGAGTGATACCTGCAGTGTTAGTAGGACAAGCTTTTCTTTTAATGATTCTTATGGCTTGGACATTCAAGTGGGGTATAGCAGATTACTTTGAATAAGAAATCACCTATATGAGTGTGAATTAGGCCCGTTCTGTGAGAATTGAGAAGGCTAAATTCTCTAGAGCACTCATGAATTATCAGGTGTTGTTCAGGGCCAAAATGAACACAACCGTAAGAACCAAACTGTGTCTGTGGATACACTATGTACAGTCTATTGTCTTGGTTTACACAAATAGCTGAACAGTTCAAGGCATCGCGTCCACTAGCTAGACAATAAGTCCGATAGGCTTTCATTAGAGGAGGTTCAAAGCCAAAAGCTACCTATCTCGATGTGGTGTATCTTCTTAATGTACTCTTTCTTTGTCTGCATCTTGTTGCATATCCGTTATCGTGAATTCCATTCATGTGAGGGATTGTTGGAAAATGGCTTTGGATGGCTTTGAAAATCCTTATTTTTTGCTAACTTTGAGCATTATTTAAGGTGGGACTCGAGCGTTATTTTTAACGTTTTTCAGTGGGTTCATGTTTAATGCCGCGTAGTGAATAAAACCATGTATTTGGTTCCTCAAAATCATTTCCGAATGAATAAGAATTCAACGCGCATTTTCAGGTTCGTAGAAATGGATTTAGGTGGGTTTCTTACACATTTGTGAAATGTGTTTGTCCCACATTGGAAAAACTTAAGGATTTATTTGGGTTTAAATACCTTAGCTTGGGATACTTAGGATGGGCCCCATGGGGTACCCAAGTTTGTAGAATGGTGAGGTTATGAGTTAAATGGGCTAGACTTATTGGACCCAAAACAAAAAACACGCAAGCGCACCGTCACCGCCGTCCGTTCGTCCGGTCAGTCGGGCGGCCTGGGCCTGGATGCGTGGTGTAAGGTCAGGTTGGGCTTGTCCGACCCAACACTTATTTTTTGGGGCCAAAAACAATTTTTATTTTTTAATTTCAGTTTCAAAAATTAAAATAATTTTGGTCCAGAGTTTTTCTCACTCAAACAGGTCCGAACAGGTTCATACCTGTTGGTTTCCACCTGAAACAGGTTTGAACCTGTTGAATCCTGTCCCGGACAGATCTGGAACTGTCCAAATAATTCAAACAGATTTTCTATCTGTTGAAATCTGTCCGAACAGTTGCCTATCTGTTGGCACCTGTTCGAACAACCACTATTCTGCCTATATAAAGCCTACTTCCGGCAATTCATTTCATTGGATTTTTCCATCAGAATTTCGTCCTCCTTCTCTATGTTTCTCTGTATTTTTTTTTGCATTTATTTTTAGGAAAAGAAAGAAAAAGAGTTACAATATATTTGGTTCTCAAGGCTTGGTTTTGTAGTGCTGCAAAATTCAAGTGTTAGTTGTTTCATCTTGGGAAGTAGACGCCGTTACAACTCGAAGTACCGGAGCGAGGGCGAAATCTATTTTAAGGAGATTGTGTCCAACACAAGCCTCGACTTTAATTTCTATAAGCATTTAATTTATTAAATTACTTCTGAATTAATTTATTTTGCTGTTTATTTAATTTATACATTTAATTTACACACACACCACTGTGGGTATAACAATCTTAAAGTAGATTTCTCGGATTTTATTTTTCTGTGTTAGACAGACGAATATTTTGTTTCGGGAAATTAAATAATAGTAATATACTGTTTAATAAGAGTTCTGGAGAGGTTGGACTAATCATTATAAAAGTAAGGTACCCCCATGGGTCTAAGGTATGCTTTAATTGAGAGTTGTTTTACTTGTGCTGATATCTTTGAGAGATAAGTGACTAACTTGATTGTCGGAGTGCTCTCGGGTAGAAGAGCCACCGTGGTATTTCTTGTCGGAGTGCTCCTAGGTGAAAGAGCTACTGTGGTATTTCTTATCTTTTTGTGTGCATGTGCTGGGCTTAATCTACTCTTTTGTGTGTTCTACCGTTAAGTTCCTTAGATCTCGATAGAAAGATCTGATTGGTTGTAAGGTCAGAAATCAACATTCACAGATAAAAATAAGAGTTTTCAAAGAATTAGAATATTCTTCATTTTAATACTCCATCTGTCCTAAAATATTAGTCGCTTATTTCATTTTTCATTGTCCCGAAATATTAGTCCATTTTCAAAAATTAAGGACTAAAATAATATGAATTTTCTATTTTTCTCTTCTTTTAAATTTATTAACAACACAAAAAGTACAATTATGACAATTAATATTTTCAAAAAATGTACTATCAAAAGGTAATTTTAGAAAATTAATATTTTTAAAGTGTCATAATTGTATTATCAAAAAAGTTAAATTTCTCCAAAAAATTATTATTTTGAGACGAAATGAGTAATTTAATTTAAAATTATTGTTAGGTTTTTATTCTTGGCAATTTCGTTTGACAAAACTCATTTCTATTGTAATTTTATTTGATCTTTTTTATTTTAGTGAGGTCTAGATGTGAATCCAACCCGAATTGTGCCTTGTAGAAATGTTTGGGAGCGAAGAATCCTTGGTCCCAAAAGTTTTCACTGACTGTAAAAATACTGAGAAGTTGCATTTCTTGCTTGAGCGACACTTTGGTAGTTCGAGTGAAGACACTTGGAAAAACACGCATTTTAGTTTCCTCACTCGAGCAAGAGATCCTTCACTCGAGCGACCATCGGGGACTTGTTTTCTATAAATACGTGTTTCAGTCATATTTTAGTGTTACGACTTTCAGATCTTCTTTGAGGGTTTTACGGTTTTCCTCTGGGTTTATTTTGCTAGTTTTATTTGATGTTTAATTGAGTATTTAACTCATGGTTTAAGAAGTATACATCAAAAGATTGTTTGTTTATTCTATATAAAAGAGAGAGTTGTTCCTCGGTGGATTCCATGGAATTTAGGCTTGAAGTTTTGGTGGATTATGGAGTGGCTCATTGTTGTGGATTTGATATCGGCGTTGTGGATTCAACGTTGGGCAGACAATTCCGAGGTGAAGACCGTGGTGGAAGAGACATATAGGGATCGGTTCAGTTTGGGTGTGGATTCGCTAGGTAATTGAGAGTGCACTTGTGTAATTCATTTTGTCTTCTTAGTGGATTGTTTTGTGCCTTTTGCCCGTAATTTTTTTTATCACAATTGAGGGATTTATAGATTTTTCAAGTATAATGGTATAATCTAAAAATATAATTGGTTGGTTAGGTTTTCCAAAAAGTACTTTTTAAAAAATTTTACTTTCTTGTTTTTCGTATTTTTTTGTGTTTACTGAATTTTTTTAATATTTTAAGCAATTTTTTTTTTTTACTTTTTAGATATACCTAACATAAATATATCTAAAAAGTAAAAAAATTGTGAAAAAAACCTTTTAAAGATTTACTAAATATCAAAAATATAAAAAAAATATGAGAATTCAGTACATTTTTGATATTCTTATGTATTTATTAATTTTTTAAAATATTTTTTCACAAATTTTTTACTTTTTAAATATATCTAAGTAAGGTGTATATAAAAAAGTAAAAAAAATATTTAAAATTTTAAAAATATTCACTAAAAATAAAACACACAAAAAATTAAAAAATTCAATTTATAAAAAATTTAATCCAAAAAATCTTAAACTAAACGCACTGAATGATATTAAAAACAATCAAGAGCCATATTAAAAACAATCAAGAGCCACATTCCATGAACCATCTTAACTCGACTTATAATTTTTAATCTTTGTCAGATCAGATGATTCTCAATGATTTTTATTTTTTAATAGAAAAAGTTTGTTTCTAGATAATATTATAAAAAAAAAGTAGACATTTCTTGAAAAAAAATGAAGATAGAGCATCTCCAAATTTTTTTATTATATATTTTTATCAAATTTAAAATTAATAAAAAGATATTTAAAAATGATCTCTAAGAATTTCATCAAATTAGGAGAGTTTTTTTTTTTTAAATTTTATATTATTTATTCATAAAATTGAAAACTCATCAAATCTTTAATTAAATTTGAATTTGATAAAAATTTTAAAAAATAAAATATTAGACCATCTCCAATGTTCAATAAAAAATTTCATCAAATTTGATGAAAAATTTGATTTGATATTGTTCAATCTAATGCTAAAATTAAAATTTTCATCAGATTTTTTCGCATCTCAATTGTCTGAGAAGACTTTTGGGTGAATGTTTTGGAGGTTGTCTGGACATGAACAAAAAAAATTAACAAGGTTGCTCTTGTATGGATATCTAGGAAGATGTTTGACTTAACCGTAACAATTTAAATTTGATAATAAATGAAAAATTCTTTTTATTTGATGAAAATTTTGACTTTTCGTCTATTTGATGAGAATATGGTGAAATGGTTAGATCATCAAAATAAGACACTTCTCATTATATTTAAATTTAATGAAATATCTAATACTGGATTGAATTGAAGATACTCTTAGAAATAACTTTTTCATCAAATTATTTGATGAAAAAATTAAAATAATTTATATAAAATCAAATTTTTTACATAAGTTTAAAATAAATTAAATAATTTTTTTTTGCGAAACAGTGTGGTCCGAACCCCAGCTTTACTAAGGCTTTGCTTGGAAATTAGAGGTTTTAGTAAAAAAAAATCAATATAAATTATCAATCATTAACTTTATTTTTCTATCTTTTTCATAAAAGTAAAACCCACTAAGGGATTGTTTGGAATGTATTAGATTAATATATATATATATATATATTTTAAAATATGTAAAAAATTAAAAAGATAATATAACTTAAAAAAGATAAAAAAAAATTACAAATTTTTAGTCCTGCCAAACAACCTCTAAAAAACAGTCAATCCCAAACAACACCTATTACCCAATAACAGCTGATAAATTCTCCCTAAAGAAACCCTTCCTGGTTCTGACTTTCCAACGTCAAAAATCAAACTCCCAAAACGTGTTGATTTCTTTGACACATTGGTATCTCTCTCTCTATCCACAACCACCTCTCTCTGTCTCTCTGTCTGTGTATATGTCTCTCAGTTTGAGCTCAAATTGAGCCAACTCTGTCTCAGTCTAGAGAGAGGGAGAGAGAGAGAGAAGCAGCAAGAGTGAGACAGTCAGGGTGTGGGTGTGGGTGTTGGGTTGGGTTGGGTTGTTGATTTGAACAATGATCAAGTACAGGAATGGGGATATCTGGGGATTCGAGAATGGAGGCCACGTTGGTTGTTCTTCTTCTTATTCTGATTCAGAGAGTGGAGTGATCTTGGGTGTGGACGGTGGCACCACGTCCACCATCTGTGTCTGCATTCCCTTCTCCTCCCTCCACTCTCTCCCTGACCCTTCTCTTCCTATCCTCGCTCGCGCCGTCGCCGGTTGTTCCAACCACAACAGCGTCGGAGGTATTTTTCTTTCTTTCTTTCTTTGTTTTGTTTTTTTTTGTTTTTTTTTTGATTTTTTCATCAAATCTTTTTGAAAAGTTTCGAAGTCATCCCAAAAATCGTTTTTCATGAAAGAAAGCCATGTCCAAATACTTGGATTTTTTATTTTTATTTTTGTGAAATTTCATCAAACTTGAGTAAAAGTATGATTGTTGGGAATTCGGTGCATCCTTGATTTGATACAATTTGATTAAATGGTTTGAGCACACTTTCAGCTATTTTTTTCATCAAATTTGAATTTGATGGAAAAATTGATTGTTATGCGTGCTTTTGGGGTAAATTCTTATTTCTCTTAAGTTTTTCTTGACTATAAATCATTGTTTTTGTTAGATATGTAGAAAGCATTGTTATTGGTTTCGATTTGGTTGGCATTCTTGGGGTGTTCTTTTCTGAACACAAGGGATAGGTGGTGTTCTGTTTCAAATTAGGGCAGTGCACACATGTAGATTCAGTTGTAGGATTTTGCGTGGTAAGAATCAGTGAAGTGCTACTGTATAGACATCCCAAAAAGCTGTGTATGATATGCACCCAACATTTCAGATATAATTGTTCATAACTTTTACCAGTTTGGATTATAACCAAAAGTATCTAACTAAATCCACTTTGGTTCAACCCCAAGTGGTTGGCCTAGCGGGTGTAGCTTGGGGTTTGGGGGTGTGTTCCCTTCGTGTCTTAGATTTTTTAACTCTTACTAGGTGCTATCAACTCTTTGGGGTCACGTCCGCGGGCTGTGCCCGAGAATTGCCCGATCCACATGGAAGGGACGCTTCGCATGGGTTTCGGGATTGGTTGAGGTACACATAAGTTGACTCGGATATCTGATAATCAAAAAAAAAAAAAAAAAAAAAAAAAAAAAAATCTCATAACCAACAGCCTCAAAATCTCATAAGTTCACTATAAATTTGATTGCCAAAACACCTCATAACTAAGTACTACATGATTCATAACTAAGACCACAAATTTCATAATTTGGGAGTATGGTACACTTCTTTTAAAGGTATGTGTCATAGAATTTTTTGTAAGAATAATAAGAATGATTTCTATATAAATTAAAGATTATGGAATGACATTTGATTTTGCGAATAAAGGGGTGGGATTGGATTAAATAATCACTGGATAGAATAATCTCACATTTGGCTCAAATTATATAATCTCTCTCTCTCTTCTCTCTCTGGTTGTTACTCTCCACTTGTTTGAAATACTTGGAACTCATTTAGGGCTTGAAACTTCAAGATCCAAGCTTAATTTTTTTATCATTGTTATAAAATTGTTAATTGTTATTTAATTTTTAACTAGTTTTTTTATTCTATGTACTAGGATAATTGATGCCAACATGTTACTATTATATTAGAGCACGAATTAGTATATTGTGGTATTTGTATTATTTTACCAAAAAATATTGGCTTTGTTTGCTTTATTGTTATGAATTACCTATTGTACTAGCATTTCTAGTTATCCTAGATTGTGAAATTCCCTTACGAGATGAAATTCTCCACATTTTTTGCTTAAAAGCAACATAAAACTCAATAATACTTTACAAATCAAGTTTTGAGGTGCAACCATGCCACAATGTTGATTGACAATTATTACTAACATTCAAATAGTTAAGAATATAAATGAGTTTTTGTGTGTGTGTGTGTGTGGCATTGATTAGTGCATGAAAAAAATGCATGAGTTCAGTTTCTGATACCTGTTGCACATTGTTCGATACTCTTGATACCCATTACATGAGATCGTCACTGCGACCATTATGCTGACTGATATCACGATTTAAAATCATGTTCGTGACCAACAATCAATAAGGAGATGTCATGAGCAAATGAGGGAGCGAATGAAAAAGATGTAAGTAACATAGGACAAATTGTTAGCCCACTAGACAAATTGTTAGCCCATAATACTTCATAAATTTCTCAAAGGGATGGTGATGATCAAGTTGAAATTAGTGATCAAGCAGTTCTAAAGTATGACAAAAGTGATATTATTTTGGAAGAAAATTTGGAAGTCTGACAAGCATAGGCAAGACAATCCAACCTGCAACACGGTTTTATCAAAAGAAGAGCTTCTTTAATATGAAGATACATTCAAATCGTTGGATCATATTGACATGCCACCAACATATTCTTTGATCAAGTTAGACATAATTGACTTTATTGGTGTTCAAGATTTTTTTTTTTTGTGCTTAATCCTTTTCTGGTGGACATCTCCAATAACTTGGAACCAAGGTTAGACAGATTTGAAAGAAAATAAGGTAGCTAGCATTTTCGAAGTTTTAATTTGCTGGCATGGACGAGTTCAATATTTTTAAGGAAATTCGAGGTTGAGTTTTTTTTATCATCCAAGGAGAGTGATGTGGAATGATGCATGCACATGGAGGTTTTATTTACAATTTTATGTCTTTGTTTATTTATTTTAATTACATTTGGTTTTCTATTTTATTAGTAATTCTAGTTCCCTTTTCCTATCAGGGTTTAGTTTCCTATTTTAATTAGGGTTAATGGTCTATAATATTAGATTTTGCGTTGTATTATTCAGAGTTGATTGATAAAATTGGGAGCGTTTAAGGTTGTGGCCTTGTGCAATTAGGGTTGTGGCCCTTATGTTCTTCCTCTCTTCGCTTTCTCTCTCTTGGTTCTACTTCACATGTTTGCCCAGTCAAGGCACTTCACTTTGTTAATGAATCTTTCTTATAAAAAATGAGAGAGATCACAAGTGTGAAGAAAAGAACTTGGGAGCCATTGATTAAAATAAAAAGAAATGTGGATGTAATAACCATCGTCCCTTCTTCAGAATTTTTAATTCCATGAATTCTAAAGCCTGAAACTGTTGATTTGTTTGTGGATAGAGTTTTCTAAAATAGATGTAAGGATATTTGTTCACAATTATGTTCCAATATGTAAAATGTGGAAAATGATTTATAATGCAAAAAGTGAAGAAATTGTTAATGTTTTATATAATACATATATATATATATATTTATTTATTTGTTGTGATCCATGTCATGTATTGCTATTTTGAAAATTGTTGTGTTGACATGGCCGTATCATATATCTATATATTACTGTTGTTGTGACTTGTATCGTGTCCTGATTTCTTGAAAATTGTCATGTCAACATGTCCGTACCATGTTGTATTTGTGTCTCTTACATACCCGTATTTGTTAGCCATTAAGTGATGGGCCCTTTCTGCTGATCCAATATTGTGAGGGAAGGTTGCTATGGACAAAATTGGTTTAATAACAGAACCATTATTAGGTTGTCATAGAACTTGGGTACTACCATTTCTGATGGATGTTATAGTATACGAAACCTTGGAAATTTGGAATTACCTCACAAAATTTTTATGACGAATCTGGATGGGGCCTGGTTGAGTTGATGTTGCAATTTTGGTTGTTTTATAATGCAGTTCCTGTCTCCTGTCAACTGATTAATCGCCTAGTTATTTAGTTATTTTGTTGTGTGTATATCATTTCTATCATTAAGGTTACGGTCATTCCTTCGTCTTTTCGTTGTTATTAAGGGACAAGTACATGTCAGGGTTATTAGGATGATTACAATGGATTCAAGAGCAACTTCCCTGATTTCTTTGTTGATCAATGAGTCATAGTCCTTATTATATTTCTGCAAATTTGACTGCTCATTATAATTTTTAAATATATGATATGTTTCTCTCTTGCTATTTTAAATTCAAAAAAAATCTTTGCGTAAGAAAAAAACTGTAATCATTTTGATTTTCTAAGTTTACTTCCCCCTTCTTTTTCATGTTTACAGAAACTGCAGCCAGAGATACATTAGAACAGGTTATGGCAGAAACCCTTCTAAATTCAGGTTCAAAGAGATCTGCTGTTCGAGCTGTTTGTTTGGGTGTATCTGGTGTTAACCATCCAACGGATCAGGAAAGAATATTAAAATGGCTAAGGTTTGTTGCCTGGACATTGTTTTGTGGTTGTCTTCATATTGTTCATGTGTATTTTGATCACTGCATGATGGTTCTAAACTAAGGAGGAGCTAATTGCAGGTTAAGAGTGCAAAGAATTTAGTTTATGATTGAGATTAAAAACCCATAGACGAATGAATTAGATCAGTCCTATAGGTCATCTGACAGCTATTTGGGATTTAAATATTGGTCCATTGTGGTAACAGAACGTTTATAATTTGTTTCAGAACCAGTGTCGGCTCCAATTTTTTTTTGTCATTGGGGTTAATGACTTATCTGTATCTACTATTTATTTCAAATAATTTGACAAAGATAATTTAAATTTCTCAAGGAAAAAATAAATTTTTTTTGTGCATTCATACTAATGTTTTTACAAAAAAAGAAGAAGAAAGTAAATGCATAAACTTCTTCAATTGTTCTCTATGGGTTTTCATATTTTGAAATTGTTACATAACTGTCTTACTATTACTACTATCAAATATACTATTTTCAAAGCATATGATCACATAATCATTAATCCATTGATCGCTCATTCACATGTGCAATTGTTTTTTATTTTTTTATTATAAATTATTGTTGAAAATGTTTTTACTACCATTGTCATTACTACTGGTAAAAGTAAATCTAATTTCACAAGTAAATTTATTCTTCTTGGTGGCTTCTCCTAAAATATTGATTTTGATCCAAATCGGGCAATTACTAGTCTAACTGTTATAGTTTTCTCCTAAAATGTAGATTTCATTGCCAATTTCAGCATTACATTTAAAAACTGGGATTTTCAATTTTTTGCATAACTACAAGACTTTTTGGGTTTGTAGAATATCTTGGAAACTTTTTGCATTAATTCAAAGTTAAGTACAACCCTTTGTTGAAGTCTCCAAAAAAAAAAAAAGCCACTTTTTTTCCCAAAAAATAAAAAAAAAAATAAACCCCCCCCCAAAAAAAAAAAAAAAAAAAAATCACTAGAACACAATTAGGGATGAGACAGATCAAAAAACACATAGAGATGACTATAGTCTTAGAAATTGAATGAAGCTACTCAACTGTTGATGAGACAGATCAAAAAACACATAGAGATGACTATAGTCTTAGAAATTGAATGAAGCTACTCAACTGTTGATTGTAATAGGTCTTAGACAAATATAAGAGATGATTAATTTTTTTTTTGAACGGTCCAATTACTCTAAAGTGGGGCCATTTTTTGTAATCAATTTTATCTAAAAATATATATAAATAAAAAATTTTAATATATATATTTTTAAAATTTAGTGGGGTCCATTGAATCCACACTAATTTATATGGAGCCGCCTAGGTTTAGAACAACTTCCTTTTTGAGCCATTCATCTTTTCCTGGCTCCCTCCTTTGTGCAATTATACTAATAAATTCGGAAATCATTAAGCAGCCAGCAAGAAAGTTTTGTTCAGTCAGAGAGTAAAATGTGACAAAAGGTTGGGGTGCAAGTAACAATGAGCCATGTATGTGCAGAATTTGAGTGGGACAGCAATTTGTGCTGGAAAAAAAAAAGCATTTACATGCTTGATGTTTCAAATAAATTTTAGAGTTGTTGCATCATATACTACAACATTATGATGCAATTTTTGATGTTGCATTGTAAAATTATAAGATGGGACATGGAGACTTTGTGAATAGGTTATGACTAGTTCCGGAATTATTCAAACCAAGCCCTATTGTGATGACTGATGCAATGATAGAAACTTGGGCTGACTAGTATGAATGTGAAAGTTTGATTTTGGGTACAGCTATTGTATGCAAATAATGTCGTTGTTTAGGGTTTGTAGAGTTTACCATGCCTAGCACCCATTGGTGGGACCAACATTGTCTACTGGAGTATTTGTTAAGTTAATTATGAAATTGGTAGTCTCTTGTCAACATCTCCTTTAAAGTCACGTAAAGCATTTTTTTCCATCCCATCTACGTTTATAAATTTGAAGATTTTTTTCAGTGGAATTAGTTGAGAGAGGATGTTATATATGATCTGAGGAAGGGTTTTTGAGTCTTTTGACTATAGCTCCAGTTATTGCCATTCTGCATCCGCGAGTTATGTTGGAGGCTGGAAATTAAAATCATTCAAGAGCTGTGTTTTCAGACCTGCCACAGCCAGGTTGGGGATCATAGTTTGACTGAACAAGGAAGCAACCGTGACTGGCTTGTACAACTCAGGCAAGTTGCAACTCAGGCAAGTTTTGAGGAAAATGTGTGATCTTGGTGTGTTTGTAGCAAAGAAATCATTTTCCAGCTCTAAAAAGTTGCGTGGAAAACATGAAGCCAACAAGGAATGGACCATGCAACTCCATCCAGTTTTTCCTATCCCATTCTTTAATTCTTATATATATGTGGAAGTCTTTGAATTTAACAGTATGGCAAGTATAGGTTAAAGGTCAAGGGAAACAAAAAATACAACCAAGTATATGGTTTACCTTACTTTTGTGTGCGTGGGGAAGTGAGCTGCATAATATATAACTATCAGAAAGGGCTTTATTTGCCAAGCTTTTGGCCTTTTTGAGCACATCGGTAGATATTATTAAGCTGCACCTGGTAAATCTATTAATTTAGCCTGTACCCGTATAATTACAATCTAATTTGGGCAAATTTCACTTTATCCCTTGTGGTATAGGCCCTGTTCACATAACCCCAGATTTAAAAATAACCACTTAACTTATTGTAGTTTGTGGACGAAAATGCTTTGCTAACTTCTATTAATGGGAATTGTAAATTGACTAAGTACCCTCATCATCTTCCTCTCTTCTAAACTATACCGTTATATATATAACATATATGTATATAAATTAGGGGAAATTCTAGGGGGTGTGTACAAAATGCATCTTAGTTACGACTTATGTAGTCTTTGGTTATGACCTATTATGGTGTTAGTTATGACTCATTATGATGTTGGTTATGATCCAAGAGCTTCTTAGGTATACCTTATGTGGTGTTTGGTTGTAACTTTTTTTTTTTGTAGTTGTGACTCTCGTAGGATTGAGTTATGATATTTATAGTAATCAAACCCACAAATATCATAACTTGCATATGGTACACACCCTCAAAACAAGCCCATCAATAGAAATCAGCAGCAAGGACAAACTAGGGCATATGCTGCGGCAAGGACACTATTACCAGCAATGCTAGCAGCTATCAATAATAGCCTTTTTTTTTTCTATCTACAATGTTAAGGTTTGAATTGTGGAAATTTTTTTATCTAGTAAAATATGATCAGTCTATTAGAAACAATTATTCCATTATGGCAGCAAAAAGTTATTCACATAGATTCTCCTGGGATACCAGTTCTAGTATTTCTAGTCCAACAATAAATGAATGCATCGCGAACAAAGAGATGCAGTTTAACTAGAAAACAAGACACAATTTCCATGCATAACATGTTATGATTTGAAAAAGAAGAAAGAAAAGAACAACTAACAAAGCATTTTTACAAGATTTTATCCTGAACTAGAAGATATTTCAGAAATAGAACCCGCTGCAAAGCAGAGAACACTAAGTGATGCGAGAATTGTCCGTTCTAGGGTTGCGTGTATTCTGTTATAGTTGTGGTGTGTATTTTATCAGGTGAAGAGAGAAAAGCTTGGGCAATGTGGCTTTGGGGCTTGGGTGGATTGAGGGGGAGAAGGGACTAGGAGAGAGAAACAGTAGAGAGAGGAAGAAGAAAATGGAATTTATATTTTTTCATTTCCTCAGAGTTCTTATCCTTTGTTGTACTTTCTTTGTACTTATTTAGTTTATTAATAAAATATTTTGTTGCTGATGACAAAAATATTGATTAGATGTATTCTTCAAATAAAACATATAGGCAAGATAATTGAAGAACTGTATATTTTGGGGTGGAAAAGATGATGGGACAAATCCTTACCATGGAAAAATTAAATATTTTATTTATTTATTTTGGGATAGTATGGTAACATTATGTTTGGTATAGTTTTCAAAAATTTCATTTTCAGTTTTTGGATTTGTTTTTTTTCATGTTTTTGGAAACAAAAACAATGAAAAGTTTGGAAATGAGTGTCCATACAAATCTTTAAATGAGTGTCCATTTTGGGATTTTTGGCATCATTTGGTGCTTTCAATTTTAGAATTTTAAAAAAAAAAAAATTTTATTTTATTTTATTGTTGCAGTTTTTTGAAATATGTTATCTTAGACTGGAATCACAATACTACATGCTGGAAAGATAATTTGTTTCTGATAGTATATTTGGGCACCCACACAACTGGATCTAAATTGTTGATAATGACTTTTTCAGGGACATATTCCCAAGCCATGTAAAGCTATATGTTCATAATGATGCTGTAGCAGCTTTGGCCAGTGGGACATTGGGTAAGCTTCATGGCTGTGTTTTGATTGCCGGTACAGGTTGCATTGCTTGTGGATTTGCTGAAGATGGACAAGAGGCTCGTGCTGCTGGTGCTGGACCTATCCTAGGTGATTGGGGCAGGTAATGCCCAACATGCTTTCCTCACGATTTTGTCCATGGAGGACATGTTAGCTTTGTTTTCTTTAGCATCATTCTTTTCTTTTACTTAGAAAATTGAAGGTACATTTCTAGGGCGACTATCCTACTAATTAAGTCAAGTAATTATCAGAAATTATAAAAAAAGTCTTAGAAATAAGTACTTGTAAAAAGGGCAAGGAATATGTTAATAATTCTGAATGTGCATGTAGGAAGTTATTGGCTGCTTGTATTATATTAAGATTAACAGCATGTGCTCAGTAAAGAATTTACTAGAGCAATTGTGGTGTTATAACTTGCAGAAGCTTATTTATTTATTTATTTTTTGAGTAACAACAAATTTTATTAAAACGGGAAAGAGAAAGAGGACAAGAAGTCCTCATAGAAAGAAAGAAAAAGAGAAGAAGAAAAAGCAAAATAAAATCGCAAAACTCGTAACCCTAAGGATGGCAAAGCGCAGCCCAATCTCCAGAGATCAAAAACAAAGGGGACTCCTTTAAAAGGAGGAGATACAAATGCCCAAAATGAGGCCAAATGTTCCGCCCTATCCCACAAAGCCTCTACACTTACTTCCTTGCCTTAAAAAATTCGAACATTTCTCTCCAGCTATATAACCCAGAAAATAGCAAAAATAATGTCTATCCACATTGTTTTGGTTTTCTTGGTACTCCCAAACCCGTCAAACCGAATAAGAAGCATATGCATACACTCCCATGGAGCAACCCACTGCACATCAAATAATTTGAAAAGACGCTACCATAATACAGAAGCCACCGGGCAATGAAGAAAAAGATGATCCGCTACCTCCAAATTTCTCTTGCACATCACACACCATTGAGGGCATAGAAAGTGATTAGGCCTTCTCCTCTGGAGAACATCATTAGTTGTAACACCTTTTTGAGCCAAAGACCACATGAAAAACTTCACTTTATGAGGGACACCAGCTTTCCAAATTTTCTTATGAAAAGGGAACAAGGGAACCGAGGGATTATCAATAATCTTATCAAAAAAGGATTTGCATAAAAAGACCCCTGAAGAGACAAGATTCTACACCCTACTATCAGAAGACGAAGAAAGAGAAACCCCCTTGAGCATTACTAACAAAGATGCCAACTCCCCCGCCTCCCTATCATTCAAGTTTCTAATGAGATCAAATTCCAGGAGATGGGTGCCATAGACGAGCTAGCCACCGACGCTATAGACACATTTGGAGAACGAGCCAATCTAGCAAACGAAATATCCCCTAACCAAACATCCTCCCAAAACCGAACATTCTCCCCATTCCCCACTCTGAATGAAAAAAAATTAGACACGAGGATACAAACGAGAAATGGATTTCCACGGTGAACGACAATTACTTCCATTAACCACATTAGAATCCCTACCATTGGATTGAACTCCATACTTGCTGTTAATAACTGAACATCATAACGACTCACTTTCAAGAGGAAATCTCCACAACCACTTGCCCAAGAAAGCAATATTCCCAGCAACGATGTTTCTTATAGCCAAGCCACCTTTTGCCCTAGAAAGAGAAACAGTCTCCCACCCAACCAAATGAACTCCTTTACCCTCCTCACACCCTTCCTAGAGAAAATCCCTCATCAGTTTATCAATCTTTCTTGCAATGCTAACCGGAATTTTGAAAAGGGACAGGAAATAAATAGGAACAAATCCTAATACGGATTGTACCAACGTATACCTCCCTCCCTTAGACAACAAAGTTCGCTTCCATCCCTCTAATCTTTTACTAATTTTGACAAGACACCAATCTAGGATCTCCTTGCAACGGAAGCCCCAAATATTTGAGAGGAAATGAATCAATTGAACATCCCAACATAACCGCCACCCTATGCACATGACTATCATCCAAATTAATACCCACAACACTGCTTTTGCTAAGATTGACCTTGAGACCCGACACTATTTAAAAAATTCTTAGAATCTTTAGCAAACTCCGCACCTTACTTTCCTCCTTAGATGAGAAGAAAATAGTATCATCCGCAAATTGTGAGTAACACCTATCCTATCCCTTCCCACCACAAACCCCTCAATGACACCCTTATCCTTAGCTAAATCAATAATCCTACCCAACACATCAACAACTAAAATAAACAAAAATGGTGACAAAGGATCACCCTGTCTTAGATCCTTGGATGCTAAGAAAAAAATCCCCCGCCTTGCCATTCACAATGATTGCCATATTGCATGACGACAAGCACCCCCAAATCCATTTCCTTCATCTAACACCCAGAAGCTTATTAAGCCTACATTGAGAGAACAACTACAAGCATTCATGTCCAATTATAGATATATATATATTTTAAATATCCTTTATATTGATATTGGGTCAAAAACGATATCTTGTGAAGTAAAAGGAATAAATTCTTAATAAAATGCGGCATTGTGCAGTTGCAAGATTACTTAACAAATAGAGGACGATAATGCAATGACGGACCTCCTGGAAAATATGACTACAAACAAAATGGCAAGTAATGATTGATATGCTAGTTGAACTATGAATAACCTTGTTGCCAGTGAATTTGATGGGCTGTTGGATCTCATTGTGTGACGTAAGGATTTGTAACCTTTTAGCACAACTATGTTGAAATGTATGAAGCACAAATACTTCTAGAAAGGAGTCATATTGTATCCATACCGTATCCGTATCGGTTATTGATACTCAGATATTTGCAAATATGTATCTGATACTTACTAAACGTATCCGATGCCTAATATTAATGTTCTTTAATTTTGAGAAGTATCAGATATTTTTTGGATACTCTTCATGTATCCGAACTATTCCAAACTAGCCTTAAGTTGCTAGGCCGCTCGGGCCAACTCTACCTTGTTACTATCTTGCCCCCACTATAGGGCTTATTCATATTCCAAGGCTTGATCCTAGATTTTCAGCCCTAGGCTGGAGAAAGTGATCCGAGGCTTGGTTATGCGGGTGCTCAACCCTAGTCTATAAAGGGATTTGGCTTGGAGTAGAATGGTTGCTCGTTCTAGCATAACTTTGCTTGGCTAGAATGACTCCTTTCAATTGCTCATGACTTTCACTCAAGTATGGGAAGTGGAAGGTAATCTAGGGACGAGCACCTTTGATCATGATACCTAGTTTGCTTTTAAACATAGTTGTTCCGTTGCTTGATCTGAATCATCTGTTGGCGTGGTGTGATTGGTGCACCTTTCTGACTCAGTCACCTAGCGCCTAAAACAAGCTGACTTTGACACCTCTCAAGGAGTCATGATTAGATTTAATGGCACCTCTTTTGTTTTCGAGGTGCTTTTTAGTTTCCTCATCATCACCTAAAGAGAAGCCTATAAATTTCAGCGTTGCTCTTCAAGAGTTGAAAGAATGGCCTCAACTTATCTGATGATTGGCTTATGAAATGGTTGAGCACTGATGCCATACCGGCGAGCTTCTAGAGCACCTTGGCTTTTTCTGAGGCTTGATGGACTGTATGGTCGATAGCTGAGCTGGGTTTTCCTTGATCACTCTCTTGGTGGCCATGTAACCCAGGTTATTCCTTGATCCCACTTGGAAGGCACATTTCGAGGCATTTAGACAAAACCTATGAGATTTGAGAATCGCAAATACTTGACCAAAGTCTTTGAGATGGTCCTCGAAAAGCTTGCTTTTGACCACCTTATCATCAATGTATGCTTCCAAGGTCTTTCCGACTAGCTTGCTTCGAGATGGTTCTCGACTAGTATCCTTTGGTAAGTTGCTCTTGAGGACTTCAGACTGAAGTACGTCACTTTGTAGGAATAGGTACGCTTGGGGGTAATGGATGTAGCATTCTCTTGGTTGGAACTGAACATGGATATTTGATGATATACTCGTTGTACGCAACAAGAAAGCTCATACAAGCGAGTCTGGCCATGGCATCTACTAGCTTGTCGATTCTCGATAATGGGAAAGTTTCCTTTGGGCAGGCCTTGTTAAGGCTCATGAATCTACACACCCTCCATTTCCAGTTCTTCTTCCTGACCACGACAGTGTTAGAAAGCCATTGGGAGTTTTGGACCTCAGTTATGGAGCTTGCTGCTAACAGCTTGTCCACTTCTTGTATCACTGTTTTGGTGTACATATGAAGCACGGACACCTCTCTAGAGGCCACGTATGAGAGTTCGACACGTGTTGGACATGCATTGGACATTTGTCGGACACGCTGGGACACTTGGGACACATTACGGACACGGTGGGGACACTTGGGGACATGATGAGGACTTATTTTTTCCCAAAAAAAATTAAATTTTTTAATTTTTTTACTAAAATAACATACCTAAAGTTAATAAATTTGATAAAGTTAAATATTTGATATAAAATACATATTAGATATTTAAAAATATGACATAATAAATATATAAAATTTTTTGCACACGTCCCCAAAGTGTCACGTTCTGCATTTTTTGAAAATTTATGTGTCCTTGTTGTGTCTGTGTCATGTCACGTGTCCTTATCCGTGTCCGTGTTTCTTAGGATATACTCGATTGAATATCGTCTGCTCTTGTGTATGACCAGTCAGCTCCCTAAGCTCACGTTTAGCTTGTGGCAGACAACGTTTGGGTCAACTCTTGGTGTGTCGCAAGGTGACTATGTTAACATCTCCAAGTTGGTTTTGAAGAAGGCAAGCATCTGTTCTTTCTTGGCCAAAGAGGTACCAAGAAGGAAAAACTTGTTCGGATTATCCTCTTCCAATCCGAACGGTTTCTAGTTCTTCCACCATCTTCTCTACAAGCACTCCACCTACGTCCTTTAAGGCTAGGCGGTCTGGAACTTCCACATTTGGACTTACTCCATGGTGTGTTTGGTTTTTGTTGGCGCTATGAAGCAATGATTGGGTGCCACTTGGTCTCAATGTATATTCTCCGCTTCTCGCTCAGTCGAGAAGGGCAGTAGCTGATGGTAAGTGGACGGTACTGCTTTCATGCAATGGAGCCATGGTCTACCCAATATTGCATTGTGGAGGGAAGGGGTGTTTATCACTATGAACTCAACATCCAGAGTCATTGATCCAGCCTGCCGCGAAGGCCACTCTGGCTGGGAGTGGCAACCAACGAACAGAATGGTGGCAGGGGTTAGGTCTTTCTTGCTCAAGCTGAGCTTCTTGAACAACTCAAAGTACATGATGTTGGCTAAGCTGCCTTGATCTATTAGGATCCTGTTGACTTCAAAGTTTGTTCCTATTCCAATGGTGACAATGAGGGCAATGGTGTGGGGGTGCTGTACTCTCTCCAAGTCCCCTCTTTGTGAAAGACACCACAAACCTGGACTTCGAAGGCTTAGTCCTGATCTTCTTCACTGCAGGTTGGATCTTCATGGCCTCCCTGGGATGAGTTGCCCTTTGAATTTTCCCGGTGAGGATATTCTCGTGATCAAGATCCAGCATTCAATGTATCATATTGATAATAACTCTGGGAGTGTTTTGGACTGCTCTCTCTTCATCACAGTTTTCAGTCTGTTCAACATCAACGAAGTGAAAATTAGCCCCAAAAAATATTTAAGTCAAAATTCTGGTTTCTATATAATCTTTTAATGAAGTGTATTCCTTACATGGCAATATTTGAGCAAGTAGTGGAGAAAATGAAGAAGATATTATTCCCTGGACCTTTTTTGTATGTGTTAAAACAAGCAGATCTTTTGTTTCATGTACATACTGTATTCTTTTTATGATGAACTTGTATGGTAATATATGCCTGAGACCATTCATTCTGATCGTTTAACTGAAGGATTTTATTTGTTTACTTATTTGTTTTTAAAAGAGGGTTTGTTATAGCATATAAACAAATATTCCTTTTGAAATAAAGCACTGGAAAGAATTGAATGCTAGAGGTTTCCTGTAGCTAATTTTCAGTACTAGGTCTCAAGATTTGTCTGAATTTTAAATAATCCATATATGTAGTTGAAAGCATGCTATATGTTTCTTAATTGAGGATATCAGGATACTCTTAGATACTGCACTGATTGTAACCGAGGAGATTATGCAGCCTTCCCACTAAAGAAAGGACCACTGTTTGCCTTACCAGTTCTATGGATATACTTATGATCAGCAAATTAATTTGTTATGTAAAGTGAATATTTTGATGGCAAATTGGATTGACAGATATCTGTTTACTTGCTGCAGTGGCTACGGAATTGCTGCACAGGCACTGACAGCAGTGATAAGGGCTCATGATGGTCGTGGTCCACAAACAATGCTTACAAAAAGTGTTCTACAGTCACTTAGTCTTTCTTCTCCAGATGAACTTATTGGGTATCTCTCTCTTCAAACTTATAACTATTCCTGTTAAATTTTTGTACTGAATCTCTAGTTAAACCTTTTGGATGCCATTACTCTAAGGACTGTAGGACAAAAAGAAAAAAGAGACCTGCAACTCCTTGCTATGACGGGAATTTGTATTGGACATATTCAGCCCTGGCTAACCTGCAAATCATACTAACAGGACATATTGGAACTGAGTCTAACTAATCTGAATTGCTTTCAGGTTGTTTCAAGTCAGGCTCTATTTGAAAAGTTTACAATCATCTCACTTTATTTTTATTTTAATATTTAAGTTGTTTATATGCTGGTAGTCCAATTAATTCTAAGAATTCAATAGATACGCGCACCTATTTTAATTTCGGAAGTGAACAAATTTCACCAAGGGCTCTTTTTATAAATGACTTTCTTTTAAGTTTCTTAGAAGACTTTATTTTATTACTTATAAACATATATAATAAAGTTGTTCCTAGGATAATTGGCAGGGGAGGCTTTCTTGTATCGCCCATGTGGGACTGCTAAAGGAAAGATATCCATCAAGCTATGTCTTGTTAGTAGATCAGCTTTCATGGTTTTCTAGTTCAAGCTAGTAGTTTTGGTGGTGTTCTTAACAGTTACATGTTATGTTGAAAGGACAGCCTTTGACAGCTTGCACCTCCATAAGATGATTTACTAGATGTGTTCTCCATGGCTACCACTCATCCATTTGGTTGTTGAACATGCACCACATGTAATCTCCTCACAAAACCTAAAGATTGTCAAAAGTGGGATGGTAATTCTTAATTGTTATTGAAACTATTTGGATATGCATGTCTTTGTTGTCTCACACAAAAGATTGTCAAAAGTGGGATGCTACATTCATCAATCTATGCTCTTATGCCTAAGCAGTTCCTGCTTTAGTTTCACGGAATCCCATCAAAAACCCATGCCATGGAAGAGACTAATGTAAAGGTTATGTGTGGGCTGCCATCCATCTTGTTACCACAACTCTTAATATTATATTCCCATTTACTTCAACCTTTCAGGTGTGGAAGTGGTCCTCATTCAAACTGTTCTATTAATAATTAAAGTTCTTCCCTGATCCCTTTTTTTTCCACCATTAGGACTATGAGAATAATATTGACAAATATGAAAGACCAGATCTGAACTTGATGGAGCGCTTATTCATCATAAGGCGATTGATGACAAAACTGACTTTATGACCACTTTAATGTAAGCTGAACGGCATTAAGTGATGGTTTACGTACTCGTGGAAGTGCTGTAACTTGTTGCCTTCCATCAAACAACCTGAATCTAGCGATACAAGAACTAGAACTCTGAATTTCAATCTCAAAATTTCATGAGTTAGTTATTAACTTATTAGGAGGCCAACCACCTATTTATAGACAAAGGCTAGCTCAAACAACAAACTAGCTAGACTAGTTGACAACATAAGGCACCAAATGCTGGACATTAAAAGTGTTGGAGATGCTCAAACGTGGAGGCAACCAGACTTGGTAGGAATTGTCATTTGTCTTGCACAAAATTTCACAAGGTCCCACTTTTCTAGCATTCAACTTCATGTAAGGGCCATGGGGCTGTCTTTCCTTGGTCAAAACCACCCAAACAAGATCACATTGTTTGAAAACGGCCTTTCATTTATGCACATCAGTTGCGGCTTTGTGTTTGGCATTAGATCCAACAATTTGTGCCTTCACTTGAGCTTGTATTTGTTACATAAATGCAGCTATCTCTTCTGCCTTGACATTCCCCTTCTTAGTTATAGGCAAAGGAACTAATTCACCAAACTATAAGGCTTGGAAGCATAAGCCACTTCAAATGGAGAAATGTTCATGATTTGATTGAGAGAGGAATTGTAAGAAAATTCAGCTAAAGGAAGCACGCCATCCCAACCCTGTGGATGATCTCCCACAAGACATCTCAACAAGTTTCCAAGATTCCGATACCAAAATGATGGAAGCAAATCAAGAGAATTGAATTGTTAGAGAGAGTTTCCCAAATCTAGGGATTCAAGAGCTAGAGCTCTGAATTTACAATCTCAAAATATCAAAAGTTTGTTTTTAGGAGGCTAACTACCACAAAGGCTAGCTCATTCAACAAACTAACTCACATCATCTTCCCTCTGAAGAAACATATTTTTTGCCAATGAACTTAGAAACAGTGCACAACTCACTTTAGTTGGATAATTTACTTAATTCGTGTTGTTAGAGAAGTAAACAAAGATTTAGAAAACATGTCGAATTACCAATGATGATTGAATGTGTTCAATAATGGTTACTGCCTTGCACAAATGGTTTCATTCTTCTTTCTTATTTGAATTTAGGTGGACCTATGCCGATCCATCTTGGGCACGCATTGCGGCACTTGTCCCAGTAGTGGTGTCTTGTGCGGAAGATGGAGATCAAATTGCAAACAAGATTTTAGAAGATGCAGTCCAAGAATTGGCTGTAAGTGTGAAAGCAGTTGTTCGAAGACTTTGCTTGGGTGGAGTAGGTACATCCTTATTTAAGTATTCAAATTTAACATATTATTCATTTCATAATTGGTAAGGAAAAGAAGGATAGGGTTATATTATGTAGCTTATATAGTTGGTTGAGTTTTAAGACAAGTCAACTCGAATTATGGACATGGAATTTGAATTTTGGTTCTCATAAAATTTGAAATGTTAGATGGTTATTATTTTTGATTGACCTGAATGTTCATTATGCATTGGGAAAGGTTAGTGCAACTTCTTGTAAGTTGAAAGCTGATAATAAGAAAGTAGAAACCAAAAGCACCCCTCCCAACTTCCAGATTATCAACTTTTTTTCAGCTTATTTAAACTATTTCTTCTACCTAGAATGTTGTAAGCAGAAGTTGCACAAAATAGTTTGGTAGTGACTTACAAAATAAATAACAAAAAGCTACGAGCAGCTCATATGGGGCTGTTTTGTGCGATTGATACAAGCTTCTTATAGCTTTTGTTATTCAGGAAGTCTGTGCTAGACTGTTTGGTTTAGTTTCTGCTTACAACTTATTAGGCAAAAATAGCTTAAATAAACTGATTATCTGGAAGTTGGGGGAAGGGATTCTGATTATCAGCTTTTAGCTTACAATGAGCTACACCAAACAGCCCATAAGCTGCTGCTAAAATCCCCATTATACTACTAAAAAAAGAGCAGTTGAAAAAATTTACATGCCAATAGAATGTGAAACCAAAACCCCCCTTGCTGCCTTGTGTGGCCTTGTTTCATGAAGATGTAGAAGTTTTCAGAATGCAAATTGATCTTTAAGCAAATTGATCTTTAAGCAAATTGATCTTTAATTGCAGATGGAAATGGCTCTTTCCCAGTTGTGATGGTCGGCGGTGTGCTTGAAGCTAACAGGAAGTGGGACATAGGAAAGGAAGTTATTGACTGTATCCAGAAGACCTACCCCAAGGCTTGTCCAGTTAAACCAAAGGTTGGCATTCTTTATCAATAGAGGTCCATATTGTAGAATATGTTTGTCATCACTGAAACAATTAACTCAATTTGTCACCATTTAATTGATTTTTGTCCTAAGAAGCACAAACATTTCTAAAAAGAAAGCGTGCCCATGTTTGATACAGACACTCGTTAGACACTTCTTGACATGCGTCGGTGATATAATAAATATATAAAACCACATATTTTGTGCGTGTTCCCGTGTGTCAGTTTTCTGTAATTTTTGAAAATTGTTGTGTCAGTGTGTATCATGTCCATGTATGTGTCCTCTCTTCTTAGTTTCTGGCATTGTGGAACTCTGTTGCAACTCTTTTGGGCTCTGTTTGGATTTGTGGGTTTGGGCTTGGTGGATTTCAAATTCTGAGGTGAAATCTGCATCCCTTGTTTGGATTACTAATTGTGTTCAGGATTTGCAATTTTTTTAGAAAATCCTCCCACGGATATTACAAACCAAAACTTGTTGATTTCAAATAACTGCTGCTGGGTGTTATTTCCCAAATCCACCCACCCATCGACTCATAGTCTCTCCATCTAAACTTTAAGTGACAGCATCTCTCTCTCTCTCTCTCTCTCCCTCTCCCCTTGTGATTCTTCACAAGCCCCAACTCTAACTCTAACCTAATTTAATGTGTATGTGTATTTTCTGCTTTCTATCACTTTAGTGTGTCATATTATCATTTTAGTTAATAATGTACTTCAGAATGCAATTATTTCTTCTACTATAATGTCAATATCCATGCTTGGGCAATATATTAAAATGTCTTTGGGTACTTTATGTATTTACTTATTTTATACATGTATATAAATATACAAAGATATGTTTCATAATGTTTTATTAGTTCAGAGGAGATATATTTGTTTGAACTTGGGCCATCTTAACCTTTTTTACTATATAATTGATAGTCATTGAACCAAATTTTTTCTCTGTTTGCAGAGTAGATTTTGTTTATCCATTTATTTCCTGTGGAAGTAAACTCCAAAAATTCTAACGATTATCACAATTACAATATGTATATCCTATTTACACACAGAAATCCATGCATAGATTCTTCACTAATTTTTAGTATCAAGTAATGCATTTTAAAATATAAAATTTCAAATATTTTGATTATGTAAATCCTTTAGATTTAAAAACCATAACGCAAATCCAAATTGAAGTTCCCAAAAACATCCTTTAGTGAAAGAGAAGTGTTTATAGTATTGTGAAGGATTGATCTGTTATTTTCATCATCCATGCTTTTCTGAACACTTTGAAGTATTAAATTAAATAGCATGCTCCCAAGTTGAGCGGAGAAAGGAAGAAAAAAGTGAGAAGTTCATTCCTCAAAAGATGTAAAAGTGAGTACCAACTTACAGTCACATGTGTGATATTTTGATTGAGGTCCATTTTGCCTCGCAAAAGCATTGATGGAAGTGCTACAACCCTAGAAGGACCTTGAAACTGTTTTGAACACCTTTCTGCATAGTCAGGAAACCTTGTGCCACTCTGATTTTGGAATTCTTGCTAATTTTCTGGTAAGGTAATGTATATATTAGCACAACAAAACTTACAATAGTTCAACTAGGGTATACACCAGCAATTCTTACAGCAAATAAAGAAATCAAATCCTATGAAACAAGCTGCTAGAAAAATTCCAGTTTTGCATGACTTTGTTAAACTGATTGTCCACAATGCCACTCCAGGTAACTGCTCTACTTTTAATATTTACAACAATTTTCCTCAAGCAATTTAGTCTCTGTTCTCTTGTTTGCAAAAGTTCTTGCATTTCTCTCTTGGCAAGTGAAATATAAAGTTGCAGCTGGTGCAAGCTTTTTCTCCAATGTCTAGCATTTACTTATCAGCACCTGCGTATGTTTTCTGAATCATGTTACTTTTTAAGTAGTGGTCTACACTAAGATTCTGTTTGGATCATAGATTTGGGTAAGGATTTGGAAGGGTAAAGGAAAAGGTGAGGGATATATGAATGAAATATAAGCTAATTTTTCCTGCTTTTACTCTTCCCTTCCAAATTCATGATCCAAACACAACGCAAGGATGTCAATGACTAATGGTTGTATATAGTCTGAAGCTTATTCTGTTGTCTCAGACTATACATGTTTGTTTACAAATGTTTTAACTATATAATTGGTTTTGTAAAAAGTTGTGACTATGGTCAACCAATGGCACCCCCATTAAAATTGAAAGGAAAGAAACAAAAGATCATACCACATTCACATTCTGGACTCAAGTGGGAATTAATCCTAATCCTCACTAGCTAATGACTGACTTTCTTCACGACCTTTGCACCATCTTTACCGGGTTGGTATCTACATTCCTTCTAAACATGTTGAGTGCAAATGTTTCCATAGTCTCTGAAAAGTTGCTATGCTACTTGGCCTCCCTGCCCTTTCTCCATAGAACTACGATATTGTATTCCTAAATTCTGAAATTTTACAAATGAAGTATTTCCCAGTTTTCACTATGGGACAAGATTCAAATTATAGATGAAACAAAATAATTTCTTCATCTCTGAAATGTACACAATCGAGAACAAATTGTATGCTACATCGTTGTTTTTTTATCTTTCCAACCCCCCCCTTATTTCACATTAAATTTTGTAGATGGATCGTTACAAGTCAAGATTTCACTTTGATTGTTCAGGTGGAGCCTGCAGTTGGGGCAGCTTTGTTTGCTTGGAATCTTTTGAAGAAAGAAACAGAAGTCAACTGCCATAGATGACCTGGGATGTGTTTAGAAACATCCAATTCAATTGTAAAGCTCAACATACATGGAAACTTTGTACAAATGAAGTAAAGCTTGAACATTGTTATTATTGCCCGAAAAGCTCAGTAATTATTGACACCGCACAAACTCTATTATTGTGCACACTGGAGGGTGAAGAGTTTGGATGCATAATATAAAGAGACTGCTGTTGTGATTGTTGCTTTTTTGTGGGGCAGGGCTTTATGGTGGGGGCAAATTACAGCCACTATTTAACCTCAACATTTGAAAGCTCACCCCATCTTACACTTACAGTGTCATAATTTATTTGATAACCGATATTTTTTTTCTTTAATAGTATTTTATTTTATTTTTTTTGTATTTTTCTCAATAGTTTAAAGAAGTTTTATTGTATTAAAAACATAGTGGTATATTTTGAGATGAAATGTGATGTGCAAATAGAGGCACCCGCCTACACGTGCTATGCGTTCAAATGCACATTACTTTTTTAGTCCCTTGTGGCACTATTTATTTGATAACGGCTTAAAGAGTTAGCTTTTATTTTTGATAGTATTTTTTGCGTGGAGCATTCTATTTTTATTTTTTTTTTGTTTTGAGGTTTATAGTCTAAGAGGCTTTAGAAAATTTCAAAAATGAAAATACATTGAAAAATGCAAATAAAAAAAGATGTATTTTTCTCAATAGTTTGAAGTTTTAATGTTGCATATTTTACAATAGCATGTGAGGCGTCGTGCACATGCATGTTGTAATTACTTTTCTATTCCTTTGTGTCATAATTTATTTAAAAATAGCTTAAAAAGTAAACTTTTATGAGTTTTTTTGTTAATTTTTTTTTTTTTTTTTATATTTTGTTTGTACTTTTCTCAATAGTTTTAAAAAGTTCTATTGTAGTACATTTTTTACACATTGATTGTTAAGAGCTTTGTACGCATGTCATGTGTGCACATGCATGCAATAAATTACTTTTCTAGATGTTTGTGTCATAATTTATTTGATAACGATTCATGATTTTTTTTCTTCAATGATATTTTTTTTGCTCATATTTTTTTAAAAGTTCGAAGAAGTTTTATCGTAGTACATCTTACACATTTGTTGTTAAGAGTTAGTTTTTATGAGTTTTTTCTTTAATAATATATTTTTTAGGTCTGTTGTTAGAAACTACGCTAGCCTAATCTAAGGGCAAAGGGAAAAGGTATCAAATGATTCACATGAATCTCAAACCCACAACATCTACTATGGAGGTTGGAAAACATGCCGCTGTTGGACAAGACAGTGGGTATATTTTTCTCAATAGTTTGAGGTATCGTTTGTTTTTAGAGGTAGAATGGAGGGGATTCATAGTGAGGGGATTCATAGTGAGGAATTGTCAAAACAAACACCCCATATAGTAGTTCCACCTCACTATCAATCCCAATCCCCTCCCTATAACCCCAAACAAACAGGGCCTAAAGAAGTTTCATTTTTGAGGTATCGTTTGTTTTTAGAGGTAGAATGGAGGGGATTCATAGTGAGGAATTGTTAAATTATTTTTATATAAAATAATAAAACAAATAAAAAAATATAAAAAATTAAACATTAATATTTTTAAAAAAATTCCCAATATATAAAAAATAAAAAAATAAGAAAATTTCTAATCCGCTCACTATTTTTCTAATACCATCTCTACCTCCTTCCCAATCCCCTTTTCAAGGCCTTTACTAATATTAAGAGATTGGGAGTCCCTTTCCCATCTCTCAAAACAAACACCCCATATAGTAGTTCCACCTCACTATCAATCCCAATCCCAATCCCAATCCCCTCCCTATAACCCCAAACAAACAGGCCTAAAGAAGTTTCATTGTAGTGTAATTTAACATTTATTGTTAAGATTTGCAGTTCTCTCAAATAACTTCTTCTTGATCTCTCCTCTTGAAGATAGATTTGTCTACAGAACAATAAATGTTGCACCAGAAAGGGTCTCAGGGTGCCCTTCACGATGTAAAGATCGTTGAAGAGGCCCATTTAAATTACCCACACTTCATTTTTTGTCTCTTCCTTTGGATACTCCTTGGATTATCTCCACTTTGCTTAACTTCCTTTTGAAGGGTTGAGCATCTCACAATTGGTACATTCTTAGGATCCACAAAAAACTAGAACCTTCTCGTTAGCTATACAACCGCTAAGAACATCAAACACATTTGATGAAGATGGAGGAAGAGTAGAAACATCATTTAACTCTACGAGTGTCAACAACTTCCTTACTGTTTTTTTTTTACTTGTCTCAACTTGAATTGTTTCGGCCATTTCTTGAATTCCACTCTTGTTTGGGAATATTTAAAACTTGACTTTAAGAATTACTGGGACACGAGTTTGTAGAATGATCAAATATTTTGCATTCTTCACACAGATGAGATTTTAAAGGGACTTTCACTTTGATTTCAAAAGGATCACCATTTCTTAAGTTAATAACAAAGGAAGTTAGGATCTCTTTGGTAGCTTCTACGAAATTCTAGCAAATGTTAAGCTGCTATGATTTTGAGTAAATTCATCAAGGTACAATGTGTTGGGCATAAACGCACGAGTTATTTCAATATTAAATATTTTCCTACAAATAATTAGTTTTGTATAATGGATGGTGGTTACTAATAGTAATGCGATAAATCAAAATTAATAAGCCAAATGACGGGCCTAATCTATCTTTGCATTATATGTAAGAGCCAATGCATTGGTTGATTCATTTATATCTATGAGAACTCTTCATATGTCAGTGAATATATAAGGTGCTATTTTTTCGGCAATGTATGTATGTAAATTGAGTTGTGTATAATCTCTTTTACATTTGATTATGTATTTTATTATAGAAATAATTAGATAACTTGTACAGAGTGTTTTCATGGTGGAGCTTTGGCCTCAACTATTAGGTAAAGGGAGCTTGGACATTGGAATTGATACATTTGGACCATCATCTTCATCCCTTTGCTTGGAGACTTGGAGCTAGAGATCTCTATTGGCTAAAGGGAGCTTGGACTAGAGTTTGTGATCAGCTTAGGTCCTATCTCTACTGGTTAAGAGGCAATCCCTACTTCTATTCTTAAATTTCTGGCAATTTCCATCTTTATTCTTGTCTTTTTGGAGTTTTCTTGAGATCTTGAAATCCTTGCTGGGTTGTTATTGATAATATAGTTGGATTCTCTCTTCTTCCTCCATTTCTGTAGTTAGTAGAGGCCTATATAGTGACTTTGGCCAAGTTCGAATTGCTTTTTCTTGATTCATTATGGGTTAGAAACCCAGGCACAGTTTCCTTTATGAGAAGAGACTGGTTCTCTTCTCTTGAACACATTTTACATGGATTTGAGTAGCTCATACTCACTTTCATGAGTTGGAGAAGGAGAACCCTTCTCTTCTTATTAGAGTCTCCCTTTTCTATTATTTTGATAGATCATTGATAATGCAAAAGCCCAAACATGACTTCCTCTTCGAGAATAGAATGAATCTTCCATGTCTTCACTATATTTCATGGACTTGGGTAGTTTATACCCATTTTCATGTGTTAGAGAGTGAGAGTCTCTCTATTCTTGTCGGAGTTCTTTTTATTTCATTTTATTGCATTTTCTTAGTTGTTATTCATTATATTTGTCGTGTGTGTTGGAATGAGTTTCCTTTCTCTCTACCCTTACTCTCTCTCATAATTTACTTTGTGTTTTACTTAGATTCAATTTTAGTTTCATGACATTCACATGTTTAGTCTAGGATCATGCATTTGGGCTCGGATCATTATATTTTGATGGTTATGTGATGTGTAGCTTTGATGACTTGCATGCCATCATATTAGTATCCGAATTCCTAGGACCCATTGTGTGTGAATGTTGCATTAGCTATAAAATCTAAGATCATGCATATTTCTAATTAATTCCTGATGCGCTTGGCTAGAGTACTCGGTGAGCTTTTTTATTTTTTTTATTTTTTTATCCTCCTTTGCATATTATTTAGTTTGGCATCTAAGATCATGCATTCGTTTCTAACACATTACGCTCTTGGCATGGTGCATAGAAGTACTAGGTGAGTCCCTTTCAACTTTGTATCTTGCTTGTGATTGATTTACGTTATGTTTTGCATACTACCATGAGGATAAGTGCTTATGTGATATATCTTCATGTTTGCCTATTGTGTGGAGGCCTTGTTGCCTAAGTTGGAATGACTCTAATATGTTCGCATGATGGTTATCTCGATTTTTCATAAGATTTCTACTTTCAAACCCTTTTCAAAATGACAAAAGAGATTAGAGCATTTCAAAGTAGGTGATTTGATGTATGTTTGTTTATTTCACATAGTAAAGACAACACATTAATAATCAGGTTATGTGATCAAATCGTGTTACTAATTTACATATCAAGAATTAGTAGAAACCGATCTTCGATCGGGCAAGTAGGGGTGTGTAGCTTGCTTTTCGTGTTCCTCGGAAGGATTTAGTCTCCCCGGATACGATAGCCCTACAATTTGGACTCCCGTGGTTCTGAATCTGCTTTCACAAGTGCAATGTGAAAGAGTGAAAAACACAAAAGAGTCCAAATTCGGCAAATCTTTTGAAAAATCAATTTTTAATCAAAAATGCCAAAAATGGACCGCTTTGCCAGATTTCAGAGTCGCCACCTAAATATTTGTTTTTTGGAAAATTTAGGAAACCTGTGACTCGTGCCAAAGGCCACTTATCCATCATCACCAAAATGTCTCGGCTTAGAAACTAAGGTATGAAAGGGGAAGATCATGAATTGAGCACCCCACTCACCCGATCAAAGATCGGCCTCTACTAATCATGATGTGATTTTTATATACATTATATGCGTTCCTTCGATTATTATGCTATTTTTACTATGTGATGCACACAAGTATAGACTGATTCGCCTAAGTTGGAACGCTTTGATTTCATGTTTGTTTTGAAAAGTGTTTGAATATTCGCCATTTGAAAAAGTGGTCTCATATGTACATTAATCAAATTATCCCAACTTATGCAAATAGTCTTCATCCAAAGGCATTCAAGAGATATATCAAATAAGCACGTAGTCTTATGGTAAACATGCTTGACATGGAAACATCAACATATATGCAATATGCTAAAGTAGGAAACACTTACCCTAAATATCCGAGACGAGCCAAAAGAAAGAAAATAGTTAGAAAAAATGCATGATCCTAAATAATGCAACATGACTAATGCAACGCATACAACATGCAATTAATAGGCTCGACTTCTAGCAATGTCATGTATCTCATTTCAAGGCATGCGATAGAGCATGTATTCGAGTAAGGAATTTGAAATTGATATTGATTAGTATGATGAGCCGAACCCTTATGCATGCAAAACGAATGGATGCGAGTCATGGAAATGCTAAGGAAAACATGATGCTACATGCAATCCATCATATGCGAGTAAATAAAAGGGAGAAAGAAATGAGAGTTGGAAGACATACATAATGTTACAA